TGAGGCCAAAAAACATATGAAAAAATGCTCATCATCACTGGTCATCAGAGAAATGCAAATCAAAACAACATTGAGACACCATCTCATGCCAGTTAGAATGGCGATCATTAAAAAATCTGGAGACAACAGATGCTGGAGAGGATGTGGAGAAATAGGAACACTTTTACACTGTTGGTGGGAGTGTAAATTAGTTCAACCATTGTGGAAGACAGTGTGGCGATTCCTCAAGGACCTAGAAATAGAAATTCCATTTGACCCAGCAATCCCATTACTGGGTATATATCCAAAGGATTATAAATTGTTCTACTATAAGGACACGTGCACACGAATGTTCATTGCAGCACTGTTTACAATAGCAAAGACCTGGAACCAACCCAAATGCCCATGGATGATAGACTGGACAAGGAAAATGTGGCATATATACACCATGGAATATTATGCAGCCATCAAAAATGATGAGTTTGTGTCCTTTGTAGGGACACAAACCTGGAAACCATCATTCTCAGCAAACTGACAGAAGAACAGAAGATCATACACTGCATGTGCTCACTCATAGGTGGGTGTTGAACAATGAGAACACATGGACACAGGGAGGGGAGCACTACACACTGGGGTCAGTTGGGGGGAAATAGGGGAGAGACGGTGAGGGGTGGGGAGCTGGGGAAAGATAGCAAGGGGAGAGATGCCAGATGTAGGTGATGGGGAGGAAGGCAGATCACACTGCCACATGTGTACCTATGCAACAATCTTGCATGTTCTTCACATGTACCCCAAAACCTAAAATGCAATAAAATAAATAAATGGGAAAAAAAAAAGAAGAAACTGCCAAACTGTCTTCCATGTTACTTTGTAATATTGAAGATTTCAGCTAGCAGTGATCAAAAGTTCCTGCTGTTCCAACTAATTGCCAGCATTTGGTGTCCTCAGTGTTCTGGATTTTTACCATTTTAATAGTTGAGTAGTACAATCTCATTGCCATTTTATTTTTGCATTTCCCTGGTGACATAAGATATGGAGCATCTTTTTATATGTTTATTTATCATCTCTATATATTCTTTCTTGAGGTATCTTATTGCTTTGGCACATTTTTTTTAACTGGAATGTTAGTATTCTTAATGTTGAGTTTTAAGTATGTTGTTGTATATTTTGGATAAAAATCCTTTGTCAGGTATGTCTTTTGTGACTATCTTTTGTCAGTTTGTGGTTTGTCCTTTCATCTCCTGACAGTGCCATCTGCAGAGCAGAATTTTTAAATTTTAATAAAATAAAGGTGATAAATTCTGTTTTTCATAGATTGTGCCTTTGGTATTGTATTGACAAATTCATCACCAAAATCAACGTCATCTAGATTTTGGCCTATGTTATCTGTTAAGAGTTTCATAGTTTTGAGTTTAACATTTGGGTCTGTGATCTATTTTGAGTTAACTTTTGTGAAGAATATAATGTATATGTCTAAGTTCAATTTTTGCTCATGGAGGTCCAGCTTTTTAAGTAGTATTTTTTTTTGGAAAGACTATTCTTTTAATCATATTACCTTATCTCTTTATCAAAGATTACTTGACTGTACTTATGTGTCTATTTCTAGGCTTTCTATTATATTCCATTGATCTATTTGTCTATTTTTTTGCTAATACCACAGTCCTGATTACTATCTCTTTATAGTACATCCTAAAGTTGGGTAGTGTTATTCCTACAACTCCTTCTTCTTTTTCAAGATTATTTTTTTGCTATTCTAAGTCTTTTGCCTTTCCCAATAAATTGTGGAGTCAACTTATCAATATACACAAATAACTTGCTAAGATTTTGAGGGAGATTGCATTAAATCTACCGATTAAATTGGGAAGAACTGACATCTTGACAATGTTGAGCCTACCTATCCATGGACATGGAATATCTCTCCATTTATTTAGTTATTTGATTTATTTTTTTAAACTTTTTCTTATAAATTTCGTACATAATTTGTTAGATTTATGCCTAACAAATACCAAATACCAATACCTAAATATTTCATTTTTAGAGGTGCTAATTTAAATGGTATTACATTTTTAATTTCAAATTTTACTTATTCTACGTACAGAAGAAAGTAATTGACTCTTGTGTATTACCCTTGTATCCTAAAACTTTATATACTCATTTGTTAGTTCCAAGAGTTTTCAGTTGATTCTTTCAGATTTCTATGTGGACAATCATGTCATCTGTGAATAAAAGCAGTTTTATTTTTTCATTACCAATTGTATACCTTTATTTCCTTTTTTGTCTTATTGTTTCAGCTATGACTTCCAGTACAGTGTTGAAAGTAGTAGTGACAGGGCTTGGCCCTGCTTTGTTCTTAAACTTAGTGAGAAAGCTGTGAGTTTCTACATTAAGTATGAAGTTAGCTGTGAATTTTTTATAAATATTCTTTATCAACCTGAAGAAGTTCTCCACTATTAATAGTTTTTCAAAAGTTTTTTTAATAAACAGACACTGGATTTTGTTCATTATTTTTTCTGCACCTGTTGATATAATCATGTGATTTTTCTTCTTTCGCCTGTTGATGTGATGAATTATATTCATTAATTTTTATATGGCTAGTCAGCCTTGCGTATCTGGGATAAATCCCATATGGTCATGGTATATAATTCTTTTAATGCACTGTTAGATTTAGTTTGCATATGTTTTGTTGAAAATTTTCGCATCTTTGTTCACCAGGTGTGTTGGTCTGCAGTTTTCTTTTCTTGTAACAGTTTTTACTTTTTTTTTTTTTTTTTTTGGTAGATGGTACTGCTAGCTCATTAGAATGCATTAGGGAGTATTTCCTCTTTTTCTATTTTCTGTAAAGAATGAGTATAATTGCTTTTCTAAGTGTTTGGTAGAAGTCACTGATGAACCTTTCCAGGCCTGGTGCTTTCTGTTTTGAAAATTTATTAATTATTGTTTCGATTTATTTAATAATTATAGACTTATTCAGAGTATCTATTTCTTCTTGTGTGAGTTTTGACAAATTGTCTTTAAGAAGCAATTCATTGTCTCAAGGTTATCAAATTGTGGGTATAGAATTGTTTGTAGCATTATTTTATTATCCTTTTAATTTCTATGGGAACTGTAGTGATGTTTCCTCTTTCACTTATGAGTAATTTGTGTCCTCTCTCTCTTTCCCTTAGCCTGGCTAAAGGCTTATTGATTTTATTTATGTATTTTTTCTTTTTAAAATAATACCTTTGGATTTTGTTGAGTTCGTCTATTTATTTTCTGTTTTTAATTTTATGATTTCTGCTCTAATTTCTATTACTTTTTTTTCTTCTGCTTATTTGGAGTTGAATTTGTTCTTCTTTTTCTAGTTTCTTAAGGTAGGCTCTTAGGTGATTGATTGTAGATCGTTATTTTCTTTTTGTTTTTTTTTTAAGCCTACTATAATATCCTTTTTATTGATTTCTGAATTCAATTTGCTAATAATTCTACTTTGCAAATTAAAATTTTCACCTGTTGCCATTTTCTTCTCTTGGAAAATTGTTTTACAATATCTCCCATAGTGCAGATATATTGGCACATCAACTAGCAAAAAAGGTATGTTACATGTGAGTGAGAAATAAGAAGAAATGAATCAGGCTTCTTTTTAGAAAACCTATGAGCCAGAAGACAATGAAAAATCTTTGAAGTGCTGAAAGAAAACATCATCAATATAGAATGTTGTAACCTATGAAAATATGATTTAGAAACAAAAGTGAATTTTAAACATATAAAAATATTAGGTTGTTTCAAAAGTAATTTGCCATTACTTTTAATAGCAAGATTGTTATTTCCTAATACATTCTTTCAGTGTTATAATTTTTTTCTAAGCACTGCTTTTGCTGCATCCCATACATTTTGATAAGTTGTTTTAATTTTTTTGATCCGTTTTAATGCCATGAGAGAATTGTACTCCAACTCTCCTATTTTAAGAACTCTCTTTACTCATACTCATGTCCTCAGGCCCCAGACTTCAAGAAAATATCGTATTTGCTCTTCTTTTTTTCTTCCCCTGTATACACTCTTTTTTCTTCAGATTACTTCCCTTTGCTAGAATAATTGCTTTATATTTCCTTGGGCACTTCTCTCTGAGTGTGTGACAAAAGGAAACAGTTGTGGTAATAATAGTATCCTAGGTATCAGAAAAGCACCTCTGGGCTGGATCTGGCATACTCCTTTTAACCTTGAAATTATTGACAGTGGTAGAGATCCTGAGAGATAATATTGGTAAGATAATATTCATGGTTCTATATGTGAAAAAAAAAAGAGTGACAACAGAATATCAGGGTTATATGAATATTTCAATGAAGAAGAATAAGGATAGCTTAGTGTTTGGAAAGGGGGTGGCATAAGCACCATTTTTGTGGTGGATAATCAGTTTTTACTTTCTTCATTATTTCTAGGTTGTGCAGATTCTGATTGCCCTGATGAACCTTAGCATGGGAATAATAATGATGTGTGTTGAATTTAGGTCTTATGGACAACGTTCCATTTCCTTCTATGCTGGGTACACAATTTGGGGGTCAGTGATGGTGAGTAGGGTATCTTTTGATATAATTGAAGATAACATAATATAGGTGTTAATACCCTGACCTTTGCAGTTTTATTCTAACTCTATCTTGTAATTCTGTAAATTTGAGAATGGTATCTAACCTTTTTAAACTCAATTTTCCCATATTTAAAACAGCAATAATAATATAAAACTTAAAGCTAGGCAGATTAAATACTTTATGTATGTCAGCTAGAATATATTACAGCAGCAAATTGTCAAAGACCCAAACCGGAATGGCTAAACATTGAAAGAACTGATTGTTTCCCAACAAGATTAGAGGCTTGTCATTTCCAGTACTGCTTAATTCAGTGGTGTAAGGATTTCAACAAGGACTGCTAGCCAACCATATCAGATGGGAGATGGTAGCCATGTCTCATTTCTGATAAATATTTTATGTATATATGCCCAAATCAACCATCAGTAAAGATAACAAACTTGCCACTACTGGCTTGGGCTAATTAAGATTTACCTCTATAGCTGGGAAGAGTCTACACTACCTTATAACTCAGGACAAACTGAAGAAAATCATGGTTTAGTTAGCAAGGAAAAAGAGGAGATGTGGAAATGTGGCTGGTACACAGGCAGTTTCTCATATATAGTCTATAGGGTATCAAATCTCAGGAAATTTTTACTTTAAAAATTAAATTGTTATTTGAAATAGTTTGTTTTATAAGTTTAATAGCAGTAACTATAACTAATATTAAAACTAGAATGAAATTTAAGTTAAAAAAAAACCTTCTCCCAAGAGAAACCACAAGAGAGTTTTGATGCAAATTGAAAAGAAAATTGAGAATAAAAGACCGAGTTTTATCTATTGACAAGAGAAAAATAAAATTTATAAGGCAGGTTTATGTTAGAATCAGGAAATCTATTCTAGCATTATAGGGTTTCCATTTATTTCTAAAACTGAGAATGAGATAGTTTAGAATTTTATAATAGAGCTTACTTTTTGTTCATCTTCACCTGTGTACAGCAGAAATGCAAGATCTGAAGGAGATTATATCAGTCAGGGTTCTCTAGAGAGAAATAACTAATAGGATAGATGTATATATAAAGGAAAGTTTATTAAGGAGTATTGACTCACACAATCACAAGGTGAGGTCCCACAACAGGCCATCTGCAAGCTGAGGAGCAAGGAAGCCAGTCTGAGACCCAGAGCTGAAGAACTTGAAATCTGATATTCAAGGGCAGGAAAGATTCAGCACAGGAGAAAGATGTAAGCCAGAAGACTATACCAGTTTGGTCTTAAAGACTATACCAGTTTACACAGAAGAACTAAACTACACCAGTTTAGTTCTTCTGCCTACTTTTAATATGGCCTCCCTGGTAGCTGATTAGATTATGCCCGCCCAGATTGAGGGTGGGTCTGCCTTTCCCAGTCGGCTGACTCAAATGTTAATCTCCCTTGGCAACCACTTCACAGTCACACCCAGGAATGATACTCTGCATCCTTCAATCCAATCAAGTTGGCATTCAATATTAACCATCAAAAGTCTACCCCTTGTCAACCTGAACCTGTACACATCTCCTGAAATCATACATAATTTTCAAATAAAGAAAATAAAGCCAACAATAAGGTCAAAATTATGCCTAACATAATACAGTTATTTTTTTGTACTACCCAAAATGCCCCAATCCCAAACTCAAATGCTATTTCATAAAGTTAACAATACGTAAATGCTGATATAAAGTTAATAAATCTTATGTCACATGATAAAGGAAAAAGAAAGGAAATAAAATGAAGATATTTTCTTAGTACAAGTGTATATGTGCACAAACATGTTCTTAACAAAAGGAGGAAATAGTCATGACAATTATGATCTTCATTTCTGCAACTGATCACATTGATGACAACTGGTATTGATGACAAACTTCTTCTACTACCCATTCTCTATTCCCTTTGCCTTCAGTAAGCACCTCAGCAGGCTGTGTGTGTGTGTGTGTGTGTGTGTGTGTGTTTTCTGTTAGAGTGACAAAAACCTTCATTCCTGAAAGGTTTGTGCCATTTATTGTCCTGCCCAGATTGGGTTGTTGTAGTTTCCCATTGATCTTAATCATAGGGCATGCTAATACTAAGAGATATCCTAAGGGATCTCGTGTATTCCACACACACTCTTTCTTACCTGAATTGTGGAGTAATAGACTAATTTTTCTTGATAGTCCAGATCAGTCACCCTAGCCAACACTGTCACTCCCTTCTTAGCCAGTTGACTTAGAGATAAGCGGAAACCAAAGTGTTCAGATGGCAATCTTAACTTCCAGTTTAATAGGATCGTTGTTGTGTCTCCTAGTGGCAGCATTCCTTCCTCTGGAAATAAGACCCATAGTCCAGCAGAACATGGTGTCATGGGAACAGGAAGCAAATATTTTGCTAGTAGGTCACTAGGGGTGATGGTGAGTGGTGCCTCTTCCACTTATACCCCTTGATTTCTGGACCCATGAATCTTGGCTATAGGAGAAACAGTACCTTATATTAGATGCTGATTCAGAGCATACACAGCCTTCTGGAGAAGGCTTTTCCCCAACCCTGAAAAGTATTGTCACTGCCGGGCATGGTGGCTCAAACCTGTAATCCCAGAACTTTGGGAGGAAGAGGCAGGTGGATCACGGGGTCAAGAGATCAAGACAATCCTGGCCAGCACGGTGAAACCTCGTCTCTACTAAAATTACAAAAAAATTAGCCGGGCATGGAGGCACATGCCTGTGGTCCCAGCTACTCAGGAGGCTGAGGTGGAAGAATTGCTTGAACCCAGGAGGCAGAGGTTGCAGTGAGTCGAGATTGCACCACTGCACTCCAGCCTGGTGACAGAGCAAGACTCCATCTCAAAAAAAAAAAGAAAGAAAACTATTGTCACCTAGTCAGTGTTGTAATTGTCACTTCAAAAGGACATTCCACCATTCTATCAACCCAGCTGCTTCAGGATGATGGTAAACATGGTAAGAGCAGCTAATTCCATGAATACGAGCCCACTGCCACATTTCTTTAGCCATCAAGTGAGTGCCTTGGTCAGAGGCAATGCTATGTAGAATACCATGATGGTGGATGAGGCATTCCTTGAGTCCATCAATGGTAGTCTTGGCAGAGCATTGCGTCCTGGATGGGCAAACCCATATCCAAAGTGTTCTGGTGAGGACAAACTACTTCCCTTTTCATGATGAAAGAGGTCCAGTATAATCAACATGCCACGAAGTAGCTGACTGATCACCCCGAGGAATGGTGCCATATCAAGGGCTCAGTGCTGGTCTTTGCTGCTGGCAAATTAGGCACTCAGCAGTGGCTGTATCCAGGTCAGTGGATAGAAGTCTGTGTTGCTGAGCCCATGCATACTCTTCATCCCATACTATCCACTTTGTTCATGGACCCATTGGGTAATGACAGGAGTGGCTAGAAAAAGAGGCTGACTGGTGTCCACAGAACAAATCATCCTATTCACTTGATTATTAAAATCCTCCTCTGCTGAGGTCACCCTTTGGTAAGCACTCACTTTAAACACAAATATCTTCACAGTTTTTGACCACTCAGAGTGGTTCATTCACATACGTCTTCCCAAAATTTCTTTGTCACCAATTTTCCCATCATGCTTCTTCTAACTCAAGAACTGCCTGAGTTTTCCAATTTATACAAGCAGAAATCTGGAAAATAGGCATGGGAATGAATATTAAGGGTGTGGTATAATGGTGGAAGGAACCTAGAGTTGAATCAGGCTGAATTTATTGATTTGGGCCCTCTAAGCAGAAATTCTGAATTTAATGTTGCAGTTTGGAGAGTTAAAACAAGGTTCTAGTTTATTTGCTTAGTTAGCTGAAACTGGATTAAAAGATGGCCCACTGTGAGTGAGCTAGAAATGCCTGATCTCCTTGGTTTAATGTAGAAGAACGGATCCAAAGGCTTAGGGAGATTGGGATAGGGGAGCAGATTAGTCACTTTAGACCCACTTATCCCAGCTGGGAGGGTTTCTCTTTATCCCTATTTTATGAATGAAGAGAGGTTAGGTAACTTGCCCAAGATCACAACTATTTGGTACAGGAATCAGGGTTAGAATAGGGTCATTCTATTATCAGAATCACATACATCTAACTACCTAGTTTTCTGCTTTTATGTCCATTTTCTTTTCAAGATTACATTGAAAACCATCTTACATGGTTTTAGCCTTCCACACATGTTCAGTAGATTACCAAGAACTGCAGGAGCTGTGTTTGTCCACTGAGACATCACTCAGACTCTTGTAGGCATTGAACTAGATGAGCCTTTACTTAATTAGCAAACCCTTTTTTTGCTACTACCTTACATTATTCTTTCAACCTTTTTTATCCAAACATCATCTGTAAAGTGCCTCTCTTTTCTCCCTTTTACAGTGTAAGTACCAATACCAACCACCAGCTGAAAGTCTCTATTATCTTTGGCCTCTTCAGTTCTGTTCTTATTTATGTTTCACATCCTTTGTTAAGGTTTTTTTCTCTGAGATACTATATGCATATTTTTTCCTGTGGTAAATGAAGTCCTTTTATTCAATCCCATCTTCAAAGATACAAGCATACATACACACTTATACATATATGTAATTTCTGTATATAACGTTTTTCCAAGGTTCTTTACTGAAATTTTTAGTTTATGGTACTTTTTAGTTCATCTTCTTGGATGTTTGCAATATATATTATTCATACTTAAATAACAGTAGTTTTAGCCATTTGTTTCAACTATTTTTCTTATATAATTATTTTGGTTAATATACCCAAATAGTAATACATAATAGTCTACATCTTTATCTTGATTTTGACTTTAATAAGATGGTCCTACTTCTTTATCATTAAACATGATAAAGACTTGTAGACTGAGAAAGATGTTTTATCATGCTATAGAAAGTATGGTTCTTTATATTAAACCAATAATATTTAAGTCACTAATAATATTGAATTGTATTAAACATCCATCCTATCAACACTGTAAACATGAAAAGGAATTAGCATGTAATATTTTTCTTAAACTGATTTATTATATACATTAGAATATTTCAATATTAAAAAACTTTGTAGAGTTGAAGGAACATCCCAAATGTTTATGATGTATTTCATATCCTATGATGGATAATTTGTTCTACTTTTGTTTTCCAATGGTGATTTAGATGACATGAATCATTTCTATGTCTGAGTATTTGAAAACTAAAGAAATTTATTGAACTATTTTATTAGTTCAGTTTCTCTATATTAAGATATAGTTTTTGAATCATCTGGGATCAAATTTGCAAAGGGAATTTTAAAAACCTCAAACAATGGAATATTATAAGGTAGAGAGTCTAAACCAATTTGACTAGCTATTTCGGCTAAACGAAAAATAATTGCCCTATTGTTGGATTCAAATGAAGTAATATATTATAGTCATCAAATTATTGGGAATTAAATTTTATGTGCTAATATTTTATTTTATAAATTTTTAAACATATTTTTAATGAGAATGATTTTAGTGTATTTTTTATTATATTCAATATTGATATAAGAATTACTTCTTATCAAGAATTTGTAAGGTTTATCTTTTAGTGTCCTCAAACGGTTTTAATGCCATTCCAGTTAGCTATTATTTGAAAAGCTTGGTAAATTATCTGATAGACTCATCTGGCAGAATTTGTCTGTTCTTTATGGAAAAAGAGAAAATTACGTGCAATCTCTTGTTTTCTAAGATAATTGACCTGTTTATACATATCTATCTAATTTGGAATTAAGTCTAGTACACGGTGATTTCCAATACCTGTTTAAAGTTTTTTATCTTCATTTTTTTCCTCTCATTCCTAGTTTATTATTTCAGGATCCTTGTCAGTTGCAGCAGGAATTAGAACTACAAAAGGTCTGGTGAGTAATATTTTGTTGGGAGGTGTCAAAAAGAAAGGATTAATAAAAAATGTATTCTGCCAGGGTAGAAACAGTTTTTGTTTGTTTGTTTTTAAAAAATCAGGGGTGATTGTGCATTTTGTTTAGCAAAATCTGTCTTTCAAAAAAATTGTAATCAGGTTAATGATAGAATTACTGACATAGTAATGGATATTTTGTCAAGGTAGTTGCTGAGGAAATCTTTATGAAGATATAGAGAATTATTGAGAACAAATATCAAGTGGGATAACAAAAAAAACTCTGCAGCTTGGGATTCAGCCCATGAGAGTCACAAGTATTTGTGTGGCATAATGTTGATTGACTGATAGATTAAAAGGTAGATTCCGGCCAGGCATTGTGGCTCACGCCTGTAATCCTAGCACTTTGGGAGGCTCAGGCGGGTGGATCACTTGAAATCAGGAGTTCGAAACTAGCCTGGACAATATGGTGAAACCCCGTTTCTACTAAAAATACAAAAAAAGTTAGCTGGGCTTGGTGGCAGGTGCCTGTAATCCCAGCTACTCAGGAGGCTGAGGCAGGAGAATTACTTGAACCCAATAGGTGGAGGTTGCAGTGGGCCAAGATTTCACCACTGCACTCCAGCCTGGTGACAGAGCAAGACTCCATCTGAAAAAGAAAACAAACAAACAAAAATAGATTCCAACTGTATCCAAAAAGGATTTGAGTTTTCAACATAAGAAATTCACAATAAAATTGTTACATAAGAATAATCAAATTTAAAATATAACTCTTATGTCAAGATGCCTTTCAAAAAGCCAATAAAGTGTAAAAGCCAAGATCTCAATGAGAGTTTTTCTGGCTGAACACCATATTTGAGTTTTCTTTGTTCAAAAGATAAATATCAAACTCTGGAGCATGATCAACATGGGTTTTCCAAATCTGGCCTAACCCAGCTTCCCGATATCTGCAGGGACCTGCAGCCATACTATACACCTCACACATTCCTGTGCAATTTTAGTTCATATAAAAAGCCTCCTTACCTTTACCCATGAGAAGAGAATGTACAGAAAGGAAAACACAACCTAGAAAAATAATTTAAAAGTTAGAGAGTTACAAGAGGCAAGCAGCATTTAGAACAATAGTAAGAGATCTGGCACCCAGAAGCAAGGAATGGCAGGGAAGGACACAGACAGGACGGTCCAGCTAACATGTAAAAATCACTGAAAATCCTGCTACATGATCTGGAGATTATCTCATGTGCCCACAGGAATCATCTGAAGAATTCAAGCTGGAGAATAATAGGATCATATTTGTGTTCGGGCAAGAGATTAGAGTTGAAACCACTATAAGGAGACAACATAGAAGACTATTGAAATAAGCTAAAGATAGATGGCAGTAAGAAATGGTGGGTGTAAAGTGATTCATGGAGATATATCTGAGGATGCTGTCGGATTGCTTAATTAATTTTCATTTCTTTCTAGATCAGAGGTAGTCTAGGAACGAGTATCACCAGCTCAGTCTTGGCTATCTCAGGGATCATAATCAATGCAATAAGCTTGACGTCTTATCTATTCCATTACCACGTCTGTGGCTACAATCAGTTGTCAAATAATTGTTACATGACTGTCCATTTTAATGGTGAGTGCTTCATCTTTTCATGAGATACTATTATAGAAGCAAGTTTGGGGGAGTGCTGGCTCTGGCAATGACAATAATTAACATTCCCTAATTGCTGACTGACTTTGGAAGTTGGAAGTGATTGAGAAATAGAATACTAATCTTTTATTTAGGAGTCAGGTACACATCTCATCTCTGTCTTTATTCTTCCTCTATATGTGGTGAGACAAAATGGGAGGAAAGCTTATGGTTATAGAACACCTAGTCCTTAATAGTTACTGTGTTGGGTATTTTGCATAAACTTTTCTGTTTAATTTTAAAACATTGATGTAGTGTATACTGTTATCTTCTATAAAAATGGGGCCCAGATGTCAGTCCCTATTCTCTAATAATAAAGTAAAATTGTCTTGAACAGCATGTTACAAGTGGTGAGTAACTCAGTATCCTTTCCGACATCTTTGGATGTTCTTGCAAGGTTAACCACTTTTATCCTCAACATGTGGCACCCGAAAAATTCCCAATCTCCATTCTAAATTTTACTACCTTTTTTGTACCAGTTGTGCTTATTTCAATGCTATCTTAATTGCTGTATTCAGAAAATTGTCACTTATACAATATTTTGTAGATAATAAAATTTCTTGATTTTTTTTTTTTGGCCATTGGGTAAGTGTAAGGAGGAAGAGTTTTTGCAGCACATCACAGCAGACTAAAATGCACAATTAAATCTTTATTATTAAAAGGCCTATTGGCCGGGCACAGTGGCTCATGCGTGTGATCCCAGCACTTTGGTAGACAGAGGCAGGTGGATCACCTGTGGTCAGGAGTTCGAGAGCAGCCTAGCCAACATGGTGAAATCCCATTTCTACTAAAAATACAAAAATTAGCCAGATGTGGTGGTGTGTACATGTAGTCCCAACTACTTGGGAGGCTGAGGCAGGAGAACCACTTGAACCTGGGAGGCAGAGGTTGAAGTGAGCCTTGATCACGCCACTTCACTCCAGTCTGGGTGTCAGAGTGAGACTCCTTCTCAAAAAAAAATAAATAAATAAAATAAACTCCTATTGTTCATTTTCAACACCACCAAATTTTCTGTTACTTTCCCCCTATAAGAGCTTTCAGCTTTCACTTTGCTACTTAGTTCTGTTCCTCACTGTGCCCTTCCCTCACATGTATGTGGAAACTCAGCATTCTTCCTAACTTACTAGACAGAATAAATTGCATTCTGTTTAATTCATTCCTAGCTAATCCCACACAGTCTTGAGGGCTATATGGTCACACCAAAATAACCGCTTAAGGTGTCTTTGCTAAACTAATTTACTGCCCTTGAGATATCTAATGATTTTTATAGTAAGCAATTTTGTTTCTTGCCACTCACTCAAAATAAGAAAAGAAAGCTTCTTTTGAGAATTTGACAAATTTTTCCAAAGTCACACAGTTAGAAATTGCCAAAAGCAAGATTAGATTGTACAACTTCTTGTCTCTAACTCCCTTCTTATTTGCTATTGTTATCTTGAAGGAGAACCTTACTTTCAGTTTATAAAGATCTCTTCATTCATAGACTTTAATAGCACAAGGATAGAGACAAAATCTGGAATTACCCAGCATCATAGGGCTGATTTCCTGGGCATGGGGCCTATGCAGTTACTCAGGACTTCACAGTTATAAGAGCCCTGTGCTTGATCTAATGTTCTGCTGTTGCTATCTTGAAATTATTCTTAGAAATTTTAAACAAGAGACTCTGTAAGTTGCATAGCTGTTTCTGCATTCATCTCAATCACTTTTTCCCAGAGGCCATCCTGAATTCCTGTTAATCATGTGAACATTTTATATGCCTGTTCTTATAGCAGAGGACTTCCATAAGGGTTTTCTGGGATTTGAAACAATGGGTCTATTCTTGCCTGGGCACCTGCACAATCAATCCACAGGTCTATAAGCTAATATTGTATGCCCCATCACAGGGTTGTCACTCCAGTAGACATAAGAAGGAAAATAGTTCCCTACCATAAAGAAGCTTCAGTTCTCCTGGAAGAAAAAGATAGAAATGCTGGAAAGCATGTAATTATTAAAGAGCCTAGAAAAAGTTAAGCTCTAGAAAAAAGTAGTTAGAGTCTGCTACCCAGAATCATTAGGCAGAACCAGAAGAAACTGCCAATGATCAACTATACTTAACCTAGAAGGGCAGCAGTTTCATAAATTCCTGTTAATTGTGTGAACATTTTTATGCCTGTTCTTATAGCAGAGGACCTCCATAAGGGCTCTCTGGGATTTGAAGCAATGGGTCTATTCTTGCCAGAGCATCTGTACAATCAGTCCACAGGTATATATATATATATGATACTTTTTTTGGAAGCCCAGCCCTACATTTGTTTTTGTAAATAAATTTCATAAAGTTTAATTGAAATACAATGAAGCCCATTTGTTTACATTCTGTGTAGTGCTGCTTTTGTGTGATAACAGCAGGTTTGAATATGTGTAAGAGATACATTATGGTTTTCAAAAACTAAAATGCACATTATCTGGCTTTTACAGAAAGGTTGCCATCTACAACAGAAAGGTTGTCTACCCTTCTAGCTACTAAAATCCTTGAAGACAGGGGAATTGTCTGTTTCATTTGCTGCTCTATGTTCTGTGCCTACAACAATGTTTGAAACACCAAGACCACTACGTCTGTTGAAAGCACCAGAAAACAAATGAGCAATGAATGCACATATTCTCAAGGTCTCCTTAAGTCTACATCACTCATATCCTGAGCTCTTCAGCGACACAGGGACTATCCCTAACCAAGGAGAGAAAAAGAGAGAATATTTAAACCAGATAATCCCTGTGTCAATCCAGGGTAAAATTAATAGAAATCAGTGTACTGCCCAATGTTCTCCAAATTTTGAATATATTTCTTGGCTGAGGACTACACCTAAAGTCAGTGCTCTCAGGACATGGAATAAAGACTGACCTACTTGATGTTCATTGTTGTATTAGCTTCTTATTGTTACTATAACAAATTACTATGAATTTAGTGTCTCAAGACAACACAGTTTGGTTATATTTCTGGAGGTCAGAAGTTCAAAACGGGTCTCACTAGGCTAAAATCAGGGCATTGGCAGGGCTGTACCCCTTTCCGAAGATTAGGCTATGGTAAGTTTTATTGCCTTTTCTGGCTTCTGTAGGCTGCCTATGTTTCTTGGTTTATCATCACATCCTCTACCTTCAAATCAAGCAATGCAGCATCTTCAAATCTCTCTTGAACTCTATCCTGCCTCCTGCTTCCACTTAAAAAGATTCTGTCATTACTTTGAACCCACCTGAATAATCCAGAAAAATTCTCTAATTCTAGCTAATAAACAATCTTAATTTCATCTGCAAATTTAATGCATTTTGCTATGCAAAAAGAACAGTGGTCCCCCAGGAAGGTCTGCATTCTAATCCCCAGAACCTGAGGATTAGAGGACTAGGATGCAGACCTCCCTGTGGGACCATTACTCTGCTTTCAATCACTAAGATATGGAATCATAATATTTTGTCAATGATATGAATTTCTAGTACTCAAAAGGGCTAAGATGATAATTGTCTTTATACTGCCTTCCTGACTTTTTAAAGCACTTTCATCTTTCTTACGCATAATAGCACTGGGGAGTACTGAACTAGGGAATAAATGTCTGTGATTATTTTGTCAGTGAAAAAAATGAGAAGTTACTTTAGCAGATCAAGAATCAGTCAAGGGTATGGCTGCAATTGGGAGGCAGGTTTCCTGACTCCCGGCCAGTGCTTTTCCTCTTCTGACATTGTGGTTACTGGTAAATGTTTTCACTTGTCATCTCCGTTTCTCACATTTCTTTGGTATGAGTTTTCTTCTAGGGTATGGATGGCTTGGTGCTCCTCTTAAGTGTGCTGGAATTCTGCATTGCTGTGTCCCTCTCTGCCTTTGGATGTAAAGTGATGTGTTGTAACCCCGGTGGGGTGAGTATTGGCCTTCATTTGAAGATGTCTGCATTAGTTTTCTATTGCTGCATAATCAATTACACAAGCTCAGAATCTTAACACAGAACACATTCATTATCTCTCAGTTTCCATGGGTCAAGAGTCTGGGCCCAGCTGAAGTGGGTCCTCAACTCAGGATCTTACAAGGCTGTCATCAGGAAGTTGGCTGGGGCTGTGGCCTTGTCTGAAGCTTATGATTTTCTTCCATGCTAATGTGGCGGAATTCATTTCCTCTCAGTTGGAGAATTCATGACAATGCACTTTTTGTTTGAGACCAACAGGAAAGTCAGTTGCTAATGCTTTAATCCTCTCATAAAGTGTTCACATGAACAGGTGAGGTCCATCCAGAATAATGCCTTTTTTGATAAACTGAAAGTCAGGTAGTCAGTACCTACACACAGGACTTGTATCCCATCTTATACACAGGTTCCATCCACACTGGAAGGGAGGGAATCATCAGGGGTCAGAGAGCGTCACCTTAGAACTCTGCCTACAACAATAGCTACATAAAAGCTCTTTTTCCCCTTCCTTTCTACCTCAAAGAACATAACCTCTGAATCCAGATAAGAAGATATTTCACAAGGAAGAGGTCCCCAAAAAGTACTTGATTTTATTCCATTATCCTATTACAATATTTTTCCTGGAATGCCAAAGAAATGTCAGGATCTCAGACTTCGCTCTCAGTCTGTTCCCACCTGCCCACTCTCTTACCCTGAGACCTGCCTCAGATGCTCCTGGCAGCTAAGCCAAAAGAACATCACACAAAGAGGAAAGTGGAGAATGGAAGGAGAGAAGAGATCAAGAAAGAGGCTCTAGGAAGAATGGGGAGGGATATCCTCCAAGAATTGAGGGTTCCAGAATGAGGACATCGACAGTAAAACCCCAGCAGCTACTCGTTAGCTTCATTACCCAAAGGTTGACAGGCAGGCAAAACCAACAGCAAAAAAATAAAGTAATCTTAGTTTGATGAGATTGTTCCTCTGGTGTCCTTTTCCATCATTTTGTACCACTCTGTCTTCTTTTGGGATTCCCAGGTAACACCACATCCCACTCCCCCACAGCTCTTCCTCACAGAAGAGAGATTGACTATAGCACATTAACTCTAGTAGTGGGGTTTTGCATTGCAAAACCCTGGAAGTGAGAGATTCTCAGTGATTTCATCAAGTGAAGTAACTTTCATGTTGTAATATTTAAGCCTGTGTTCCCTTTGGCTCTTAGCATAGAAGCTGTGGAATGTTGTTTCCCTAATCTGGTGTGAGTCCAGAAAAGCAATGGCTTTGGGGCATATCTTAGCTAAATCTCTATTTCTTCCTGGTTCCCCCACCATGCCCTACCAACCCAATGTTGCACTGAGTTTGTGGAAGAATAACTGAACTTTTCTTAATTTTGTGATGATCCCTGCTATTCTGGGCCAGTGTGGTTTTTGCAAATGCTTTATTCATAACCAGCAACTCATGATTTGGGTATGTTGATAACATCAGCATGAACAACTTGGTTTGGAAGAAGAGCCCCATATTTTTCATGACACCTTGGTTTGCCAAATGTATTTTGCACTATCATCTACATGTAAGATTGATTCACTTCAAGACCAGGGCAGCGGTCATCAGCAGCTCAGGTCAAGAGCTATCACTGAATGTTATGACCTAAATCTGGCCTGATCTAGAGAATGACTGAGAAGCCCACAAGCTTGATCTTGAGAATGAATCAGAGAAGAAAAGAGTAAACTCTGGTAATGATGAATTTATGTGGGCAGTAAATGAGCCCCCCGAGGTTATTTGGGTGACTCGCGTATGGCATTCTGATTGTTTCACAGCTTGTGTTAATTCTGCCACCAAATTCTCACATGGCAGAAACAGCATCTCCCGAACTACTTAAGACAGTTTGATGCCACCAAAAGACCAACAGAAGAATGCTGCAGAAATCTGTGCTGACTGTAACTCAAGAACCCCACAGGAGAAAGTACCAGAATCCAACTCCGATACTGATAGATATATTGATATCATTATTATATGTAATCCAATTATGAACTCTGTGTGTATGCATATATGTATATCAATTCAAAATTATGTTCTCATTTTTCTCCTGGTATTCAACAACTCATTTCACTGACTATTTATTGAGAGTACTAGAACTAAAATAAATAAATAACGCATTTAATGAGGCAACAGTATTTGAAAGTTTTCATTCATCATCAGGACTTTATATAAAGGCATTAAATTGGCAAATAAGATTTGGAAGCAGAAGGGCAAAAAGGTATTGCTAAAATGAGGCCTCCATGCAAAACACATACTTCTGCTCCCCTGTATAATATTCCTCCCACTTATTTGATTTTTTTTCTGTCATATTTGGGGACCAAATAGTCGATCTTGGAGAAAGTTTCATGCATTGTTGAATACAGTGTATATTTTGCAGTTGCTGGATGAAATGTTCTGTATGTATCTGTTAAGTTCATTTGTTCCAAGGTATAGTTTAAAATCCATTGTTTCTTTGTTGGTTTTCTGTCTTGATGACCTGTTTAGTGCTGTTAGTGGAGTATTGAAGTTCCCAACTATTTTTGTGTTGCTGTCTATCTCATTTCTTAGGTCTATTAGTAATTGTTTTATATATTTGAGAGTTGGTGGAGTATTGAAGTTCCCAACTATTATTGTGTTGCTGTCTATCTCATTTCTTAAGTCTATTAGTAATTGTTTTATATATTTGGGAGTTCCAGTTTTAGGTGCACATGTTTAAGATTGTGATAGTTTCCTGTTGGACAGGGCCTTTTACAAATATGTAATGTCCCTCTTTGTCTTTTTTAACTGCTGTTGCTTTAAAGTTGGTTACATCTGATATAAGGATAATTACTTCTGCTCACTTTTGGTGTCCATATACATGAAATGCCCTTTTCCATATCTTTGCTTAAGTTTATATGAGTCCTTATGTGTTAGGTGAGTCTCGTCAAGGCAGTGGATAGTTAGTTGGTGAATTCTTATCCATTCTACAGTTCTGTATTTTTTAAGTGGAACATCCTATAAGGCCAGTTGCATTCAATGTTAGTATTGTGATGCGAGGTACAGGCAACAGTATTTGTTGCCTGTGTACCTTGGTTTTTTGTTTTTTAAATTGTATTTTTATTTTATAGGTCCTGTGAGATTTATGCTTTAAAGAGGTTCTGTTTTGATATGTTTCCAGGATGTGTTTTAAGATTTAGAGCTCCTTTTAGAAGTTCTTGTAGCTGGGGTTTGGTAATGGTGAATTTTCTCAGCATTGGTTGGTTTGTTTGTCTGAAAAAGACTGCATGTCTCTTGCTGATATGCTGGTTAGTGTCACTGGATACAAAAATCTTGGCTGATAATTGTTTTGTTTGAGGAGGCTGAAAATTGAGCCCCAATCCATGCTAGCTTTAGGTTTCTGCTGAGAAATCTGCTGTTAATCTGATAGGTTTTCCTTTATAGGTTACCTGGTGGTTCTCTCTCACAGCTCTTAAGATTTTTCCCTTCATCTTAACTTTAGATAATCTGATGACAAGGTACCTAATTTCCCAGTGATGAATTTCCCAGGTGTTTTTTGTGCTTCTTGTATCTGGTAGATAGGTCTCTAGCAAGGCCAGGGATGTTTTCCTCAATTATTTCCCCAAATATATGTTTCAAACTTTTATATTTCTCTTCTTTCTCAGGATTGCTAATTATTCTTAGGTTTGGTAATTTAACAGAATCCCAGACTTCTTGGAGGCTTGTTAATATTTTCTTAGTCTTTCTCTTTTTATGGTCTTTGTTTGATTGGGTTAATTCAAAGACCTTGTCTTCAAGCTCTGAGTTTCTTTCTTCTACTTGTTCAATTCTATTGCTGAGATTTTCCAGAACATTTTGCATTTCTTTAAGTGCATTTAGTGTTTACTGAAGTTTTTATTGGTTTTTATTTATGCTACCTATTTCATTAAATATTTCTCCCTTCACTTCTTGTAACATTTTTTGGATTTTCTTGTATTGGGCTTTGCCTTTCTCTGGCGCCTCCCTGATTAGCTTAATAATTAACCTCATAAATTATTTTCCAGGTAAATCAGGAACTTCTTATTGGTTTGGATCCATTGCTGGTGAGTTACTGTGATTTTGAGGGGGTGTTAAAAAACCTTGTTTTGCCATATTACAGGAGTTGGTTTTCTGGTGCCTTCTCATTTGCGTAGGCTCTGACAGAGAGAAAGTCTGAGGCTGAAGGCTGTTGTTCAGATTCTTTTGTGCCATGGGGTATTCCCTTGATGTAGTACTCTCCCCCTTTTCCTAGAGACGTGACTTCCTGAGAGTCAAGCTACAGTGATTGTTGTCCCTTTTCTTGATCTAGCCACTCCGCAAGTCTACCAGTCTTCGGGCTGGCATTGGGGGTTGCCTGTAAAGCGTCCTGTAATGTGAACCATCTATGGGTCTCTCAGGCATGGATACCAGCATGGTATTTGGGATGTCTCCCTGTCTTGCAGGAGACATCCTCTTCCTTCAAAGGATCTGTGGGTTCTCTCTGGTTTCCTGATTTATTTCTGTAGTCATTCTGGATCTAAAATTTACGATGCAGGCCTCCACACACTGCTTTGTCTGTCTGAGTCAGAGCTGCAATCAGGCCTGCCTCCTGTCTACCATGATGGACCTAAAATATATTATTTTGCATTTTCTTCCTTGCTTAATTATTTTGTCTCTGGCATTTATTTTTGTTAGTATTGTTTATTATTATAAATTGAATATGTTTTTTGTATTGTTGACAAGTATGCCATTAGTACTTAATACAGAGCCTATCATCACCTAACTGACCTTAGCTGTTAATATTACCATATCATAAAGAAATATTGGTCTATTCCTATATCTAATTACAATCTTTTAATTATTGTCTATGTGCTGATATCTCACTTGTTTTATTTCTCCACTATTTTATTAATATTTCACAGATTTTGATACCCAGCATTTATTCCAATTTGTTCTGACAATTATGGCCTAATTTCCTCCAAAAAATCACCATTATCTAATTCTTAATTTATGTACAAGGGTGGAGCTCACTCAACTCCCAGCTCCAAGAGTTGACCTGTGTCCTATATCTGGGAAATGGCAAAAATTACATCAACTCAGCTAGAGTGAAGTTCTGTGGTAGCCTTGTGATGTAGGAAAAGCCAATCGTGTGAATGACTGACACATTTCCAATCAAAACTAATCTCTTCACGTTCACTTCACTGTCCAGGAAATGATCTTCCCCTCCTTCCTCTTTCCTGTTGGACTTGAAGCTGTGAGGAGGTAAGTTTGTTGCTATCATATCCTTTGCATGTCCAAGTCAAAATTTACCTCAAGTTGGGTCAATCCCTGGTGTTTTAAATATATAAAGGCAAGAAAAGAGAACTAACTGCAATAACTGGGGAAAATCCTTCAGTGACTTCTTCTCTAATTCAGAATAAAAGCCAGAACTCATACTAAATCCTACAAGCCCTTACATCGCCTGATTCTTGTTCTCTCTTGGATTTTGTAAAATATCCTAACTTATATACTGATATATTGCTTTGAGATTATTTTAAATGGCATGAGAATGCCTTCTCTTGGTTTGAATTAGAACATATATAAACTTTTTAAGGTTAACACTTACATAAGCAACCTAACATTAGTGCATTTTTAGTTGTAAAAAGTTAATGCAAATATCTTAGGCTATTCATGCAAGATACTATGATTTCAACTTGTAAAGACTATATCATTTATTTCATATCATGCGATTTAAAATGTTTTCTCCATTTGGTTATTCTAGGTTCTATCTATATGTGATTAGGAGGTAAAGCAGTAGGAAAATGTCCATGAGCACTTTGCCTTCTTTTGCTACATATACGATAAAAATAGTTATTCTTTTTATTTATTTATTTATTTTTGAGATAGGGCATGGCTCTGTCACCCAGGCTGTAGTGCAAGGGTGTGATTCTGGCTCAATGCAACCTCTACCTCCTTGACTTAAGTCATCCTCCCGCCTCAGTCTCCCAAGTAGCTGGGCCTACAGGTGTTCACCACCTGGCTTATTTTTGTAATTTTTGTAGAGACGAGGTTTCATTATGTTGCTCAGGTTGGTCTCGAACTCCTGAGCTCAGGCAATCCACTCACCTTGGACTCCCAAAATACTGGGATTATAGGCGTGAGCCAATGCACCTGGCCAAAATAATTATTCTTCGTATACATGATTGAATTCCCCACAACTTACTAGCTGTGGGCAGCTTATCATTGTGTTGCCTCAGTTTCTTCATCTATGAAAATTACAATAGTACCTACCTTGTAGGTTCTTATGAAGACTATAGGTATTATTCATACTTGTAATCACAGAATGAAAATTGACACTGGGAGGTGATATATAAAGAATGGTGAGTGATACTGATAGGTGATATATAAACAATTATTAAACAAGTAAAATGGAAACAAATAACAAAGTAAAAGTAATTAAAGAAGCTAAAGATTAAGATAAGTCTTAATATGAGCACATAAGCAGTCATTCTTTTAAATATGCAGGAAAAGAAACAGATAGGGGTGTCCACAGAATTCTGAATTTTAAATAAGTGTACTAAGTATAAGAATAATGTCCACATGGGACACAAAGAAACTGTACTGTCCTGAAAATCGGCAATGTTTATTAACTTTAGTGAAGTTTTAGAAGTGGCAATTTATAATGTTACAGTTTCAAATTTAATATCAGAATAATCTAAGATGCTCTAAAAATAGAGTTATCTTCCCACAAGCCTATTTTCCATGGAGTCATTGTGAGTTATGCAAAATGAGGTTCCAACTATAGGACACAGTTTTCCACTGTCAATAGTGATATGCAGTTGGAGTAAAGTAGTGAATCTTTTTCACTAAGAGAGGAGTATTTAACTTCTACAGCTGTCATGTTGAGAATGACATGGGGCAGAACAGGGCATCTGGAGTCAGGTTGGAAGGATAATCATCCTGCAAGTAATCAGCAGTGCACCCATGTGATATAAATCAATTTTGTGTTTAGGAAAAACTCAGTGAGGGTCACTTAGTAGCTTTGATGTATATTTGGAAACCAGGACTGTTTTCAGTTTTGGTGATAGCTCTCCGATGGCTATCTGAGAAGATTTTTAGGACAGAAGAAACATAGTAGGGAACAAGAAAAATACTATAATCTAAGCCAATGTAGTGTGACACAAGTGCATGCAATCAGATAATTTTAGAATGCCACTGACCAGATTGAATGGCAAGCTCCCATGCATTCTATATACAAAACATCAAAAAGTTATTTAAAAATATGCCACTCTGTCATTAATCTTCATTGTAAACGCATTCATAGCACCAAAGGATAGCTTTGTTTTAAAAATATAGCAACAATTTACCAACAGTACACACCACAAATATTGTCCTTCAAATCTTCAGTTTAGGTCCTTATCTACACCAATTCCTTTCCTTTAGATCATCTCAACTTGTATTAATGGGACATAGAGGCAATTTGATTCTATTT